TTACATATCCGGCTGGACCGGAGGATGTACACTGGCACAGATAGGAACTGGAAATATAGGAAATCCAGGACAGATGAACCCCTCAGGACCAGTGCTGAGAGTGGCAAATATCAGGAGGGTGAAGGAAAGGTGAGGGAGAAAGGGGGAACAGATTACAAGGTAATCACCTCCCTGGGGGATGGACAGCAGAGAAGTGGGTAAGGGGAGATGTTGGATGGTGTAAGATATGACAAAATAATAAGAATTTATAAATTATCAAGGGTTCAGGGAAGAGGGGGAAGCGGGCAGGGAGAGGAAAAAATAAGCTGATACCAAGGGCTCTAGTAGAAAGCAGGTGTTTTGAGAATGATGATGGCAACACATGTACAAATATACTTGACACAATTGATGTATGTATGGATTGTGATAAGAATTGTATGAGCCCTTAATAAGATGATAAATAAATAATAGTACCTTTCATCAATTTTCCCAAAATTTCTAAAAAATCTAATTTACTCTCAAAACCTATTGCTGCTCTCTTACCTGTTGTACGCATGAAGAGTTTATGTGCCTGGCTCTCATATCCACGTGATGTATGGAGAGCAATCCAGTCTGGGTTTATAAAATTTGCCCTGCAAACCAAAGCACATATACACATACTTTATTCTGCTATCACGTTTCACAATAAGGACACCTGAGAACATGTCAATTTGAGAATTAGATATTGTTCTTATAAAACAGTGAAGTTAATGCTTAAACTTAGCTCTTAATTATGTGAAACTAACTTAAGCTATCCAACAGAGTCTGCTTTGCTCATTCTTTCAACAAAACCACCTGGAGCAGTTAATGGTTCTCAGCCTAACTAATGCCGTGACCCTTTCATACAGTTCCTCATGATGCATGGTGTGGTGACCCCCAAACCATAAAATTATTTTCGTTGCTATTTCCTAACTATAGTTTTGCTACTGTTATGAATCGGGCGACCCCTGTGAAAGGGTCGGTCGACCCCCAAAGGGGTCACGATCCACAGGTTGAGAACCGCTGACCTAGAGCAACAAGCCCCCCCCTGCAGAGTGCTTCCAGTGGAAACACAACCTGTAATGTCACACTTCATTTCCAAGACACATTCTTTATAAGGAACAATATACTAGTATTGACCAGAGCAGCATAGTTTATATTTTAAATCTCCAGTTACTGAGTCAGCTGTAATAAAATACTACTCATTAGAAGTCACTGCATAAAGCTAAAGATAATCATTAACTATCTGTAGAAATTTTAGTCATACTATATTAACCTAAACACTGTAAAGTATAATCAACATGAAATTTGAGGTTTTATTTCTTGGATCCATGAATCTAATCTTTCCACATTATGAAATGATTAAAGTTGAAATGATAAGTCAATTGGGTTCAATAGATATACTGTGAATTTCCTCAAATTTCTCCTGACACACTTCAAGTCCAAGATGGAATGCTACTATATAGTAGAAGTAGCTCCTTATCTTTTACAAGGGGCTGTGGTGTCCCTTGGTTAAGTGCTGGGATGCTAACTGTACAGTAAGTGGTTCAAACCATTCTGTTTCTGTAAGAGGAATATCAGTCCCAATCATAAATCAAACAGTGAGATAATTCTACATACAATAATTCTAATTTAGTCAAAATATTTGGACTTATATTTTTCATTTACCTTGGGACATTGCAAGAAAAAGTGCTCTTCTGCACAACTAGCTTATATATTAAATAAAATTCACAGTAGTTACTGTGTAATTGGCTGTAAATCTCTATTTCGAAATGAAATTAAATTTTTCTACTTATTTGTAGTCTCTCCTGAAAATAGATTATGGGCTATACTACAAAGAAATTATAGAAATGTTTCAACTCTGACAGTTACCTTTCTGATAAGCTGCTTATAAGAGTTACAGCCTGATTATAAACCATAACAGAATAGTAGCTACAACTGATCTTTCCTGTCCTCATCAAAGGCAGATCACATTGTTTCTTAGTATATCTTCTGAAAGCATAAATATTTAAAGTTACATTGACAAAGAAATACTTAGGAGGGAGGGAAAAAATGAGGAACTGATACCAAGGACTCAAGTAGAAAAAAAAGTTTTGAAAAGGGTAATGGCAATATATGTATAAATGTGCTTGACACAATGGATGTATGAATTGTTATATGAGCTGTAAGAGCCCCCAATGAAATGATTAAAGAAAAAGAAAGAAATACTTACACATATGAACACAAGAGACTATGATAAGCTGTAAGAGGTGGATAATCCAGTCCCCAATACTTTAAATTGTTATCACTGGTATTAAAATACCTGAAAAAGAAAAGGGGGGGGGGAAGCATTATTCTGTTCATCAGTATTCAAGAAATATATGTTTAAATTTTTATTACCCGCATTTAAATTTTCATTACTAATTAGTGATCAAATAATTCAAACCAGGCACTCTTTAGTGGGGAAGAGAAAACTATTAATAATGTAGCCAGGACAATAGGCACAAACTAATAGCATCCTAGCTACACCTGGGCACAGAGTGAGGCTTCAAAAAGTTCATGGAGAAGTGAAATTAAAGGATAACAGTATAAATATAAAGAGAGATTTCTCTCCAAAAAGTGACTCATGAGATAGTAGACACTGGCAATACAGCCACATCCTTGGCCTTAAAACACTTTAGCAAATCTAAAGGAATTGAAGTTATACAAAGTTTACTTTTATACCACAATGAAATTAAACTAGAAATCAATAAGAGAGCTAAAATTCTCAAATTATATGGAGATCAAACATTATACTTTTAATTAATGTATGGGTTTAAAAGTCTTGAGAATTTTAAAAATATTTTGAATAAATGAAAATATAACATCAAAAGAATCAGCATAAGCAGTACTTAGAGGATAATTTATAGGATTAAGTGCAAATATTAGGGAAATCTAAAATCAGTAATTGAAGCTTCTACCTCAGGAAACAAAAAACAGAAGAGCAACGTAAATCCAAAATAAACAGAAGAAAGAAAATAAAGATTAGAGCACAAAGAAATAAAACTGAACAAGGAAATCTATAGAGAAAACTAATAAAACTAAATCTGGTTCTTTGAAAAGATCAATAAAATTGCTAAACCACTTGCCAGGCTAACAAAACAAAGAAAGAAGACTCTTTCATCAAAAGTGAACAACTACTGATCACACAGACAATTAAAGGATAATAAAGGAATGTTGTGAAAACTATCTCCACAAACGATAACTTAGATTAAATGGATACAGTTCTTGAAAAATACAATCTATGAAAACTCACACAAAGAGAAACAGGTCATCGGAGTAAGCCTATAACTATAACTACTAAAGGAATTGAAGTAATTATTAATAACTTTCCAAAACACCCAGCTGGTTTAACTGATGAATTATACCAAATACTTAGAGAAGAAGGGAAGTCATCTCTCTACAATCCCTTCTCTAGAAAGCAGGAGCAAAACAAACACTTCCCAATTCACTCTGGGAGGCCAGCATGACTTTTTTTTTTTTTAACATTTTATTAGGGGCTCATACAACTGTTATCCCAATCCACTCACACATCAATTGTGTAAAGCGCATTGCCAGCATGACTTTAAGACCGAAACCAAACAAAGACATTACTGGGATAGAAAGTGACAAACTAAAGCTTCTCATTAACATACGCAAAAAATTCTTCAACAAAATATTAGAAATTTTTACCAGAAAAAAGTATAACAAGAATTATGCAATACAACAAAGTGGGACTTATTCCAGGTAGATAAGACTAGTTCAATATTAGAAAACCAATTAATGTAATCCATTACATAAATAGGTTAAAGAAAAGTCATAAGATCATATCAATAGATTCAGAAGAAACCCAGTTTTCATTCATGATAAAAACTGTCAGCAAACTAGGAATAGAAGAGGATTCCTCAATTTATAAAAGCCCCACATAGAACTTAAACCTTTTAGAAAAATTAACTCAAAATATGATACTATGAAGGAAAAAAGTACACATTTGATGGCACAAACATCAAAATGAAGAATCACACCACAGGAACAATGGAAACATAAGAACACAGAGGAAGATGCTATACATCCAGATGTGAGGGGAAATGTGGTGGTGGAAATACTTGAAGGTGGTCCACAAACACCCAATCTGCTGCTGTTACACCCTCCCCTGGAGCATGAACAAGACTTACAACTTGCTTCTAACCAACAAAATATAGCAGAAGACTTCTCACCCTCACCCACAAATACAATAAGAAATACAAGTAGGAAACAGTGCTCAGCTTTGAGCGATTCTGAATCAGGGAGCAAGCAGTGGAGAGCCACCGACCGGTAAGGATCAATAAGTCAGTGACTCACGTAAAGTAGGACTCTTCCACTCCCCCTGGCCTTCCTGGGGCGGATCACCACCAGCTGCTGTGAGCTGAGGCCGAAGCCTTAGAAAAAAAAAGAGCCTGTCTTCCCAAGCACTACAGTCCATGCTTGTACAAAGAAAGAGGCCCCTTCTACCGTACAATCAGTATGGCAGACCTACTCGGGGATCCAGCTGGCATGTGCCAGCACTGATGGCTGCAAGTCTACTGCAGATGGCTACAGAAGGTCAATGCAGTGGAGCCTACTAACATAGGCGATGCCTGCCTCTTTATGCACTCCATAGCTCAGGCCCCTGAACTAACAGGGCAGACCTCCCGAGGAGCCAGTTCAGGTCTGCCAGTTCCCCATTTAGGGTGAAGCTGATTGCTGCTGACTGACGCTGCTGTGTGCTGCGAAGCAGGCATGGTAGATGGAGGTTACAACCACGGCTAACTACAGGGAGGGCTCTGAGAGAAACAAAGCAGATCATAAGTACTTTGTAGGGTGATAGCCCCTCCCCCATCCAGAGTCCTTATCCCTCAGACCTAAATATTGGTCTGCGTTACTAAAAACAAAAAGAGGAAACGTGAAACTGAAATGGACTTGGTGTCTTCAGTGACAAGTTCATGTCAAACAAACAAAAAAAGGAGATATTAGATATATGCATCTGAGGAATTTTAGGAGACGAGATGAGTTGAGAAAGGGGCAGAAAGAATAGTTGAAAAAATACTGTGCAAAAACCAAAATGTTGCTGTGGCATCATCTGACCTTCTCTGACTTTACAAGGGGATAGAACACACACATTTAACATCAAAGACCACTTCATTCCTATGAGGCAGAAGTCAGAATGCCTATAGCCTCCAATCTTTACCATTCCTTCACAAGGCACTCTACTTTTCTGCTGAGTTTAGTAATTCTTTGCAATGGCCACCCAGGGCTCACCAACCATACTTGTAATTACAGGGTTAAATAACAGGTTACAATTGAAGATCAGAAATGCTTAGGATGCAGTTTTGTTTTGTTTTGTTTTGTTTTGTTTCAATCAGGACAGTCTCCTTGCAGTCATAACTACAAGCATCCCTTTCTCTGATCCTCAGGCTCTCAGCAAAGCAGTCCCTTGGTCTTTGGTCTCTGCCCTGGTCTGGCAATGTTAAAAAGCTCTTTTATCTCTGCCAATAAATACCCAAGAGGTGCTCATGCCACCAGTAAGACTACTATCCAGAGGCATGCAGCTTTTTGGTTCCATGTGCTGGGAGCCTACCACTCTGCTGCCTCTACTGCCACGGCTTCTCTGCCACTGCCTCTCGTGTTAGTTTTCTGTCTCCAAGATCAAGAAGTTTCAGTACGACACAAGAATCTTGGAGTCAAAGGATATGCTCCAGTTCTGGTTCTTTCTTGACGGCAGTTGAGAGCTCGCCTTCGCCCTCTGAGATAGCTCATTTTAAGATGAACTGGATTGCACAACTGACCAATACCCACGTTAGTGGTCCAAACATCTCATTTACATGGGTGCCATGCACTTTGTTTCCATTATTAGCCAGCTATCCAAACCCTTCGGTGGGCAACAAATACTTCATAATTGTCCTACCCAGTAATTTGGTATGAACAACAAAGATTATGACTAGAAAGGCCATATCATGTCATTCACTGCATGGAATAATGACAGACATTTTTCCTAATCTAATGAAGGACATGAATCTACAAATCCAAGAAGTTCAAAGAACACCAAACAGGATAAGCGTGAAAAATTCTACAACAAGACATATCATACATAGTTAGGCTCTCACAGTTAAAGATGAAGAGAAACCCCTGAAGACAATGATAGAGAAGCAAACAGGCACATACAAAAGAGTTCTGATAGGATTAAGTGTCAGTTTTTGCTCAAAAACATGGGAGGCTACAAAGTAATGGAATGATATATAGGTGTGTGCTGCAGCGTGTCCCTTTAGGCCATGTCCAACTACATAGATGTCCTTGGGCCAAGGAGGAGGGGCTTGCTTGGGAGCACGCCAGGAAGCGGGTAGTATTGAGTTTGCAACGCTGCAACAGCTGACACTTGGCTCTACAGCTGCCATAGCTCAGCCCCAACTCCTGAGCCGTGGCACGGCTTTCAGCCCCCAGGTCACAGCTGCCGTAAATCCCACAACTACTGTTGGCACATGCCCTGCCTAACCACCTTGCAATGCCTGTGAGGAAATGCTGGGCTGCAGCCATGCTGATCCATCCCTTGCTGCTTCTAATTCTGACCAGGTTGTCCAGAAGAAATAAGTCACGTCTCATAAGTAATTACAATGAATGTAAATTGATTAAGTCAAAAGGCAGAGTGGATTAAATGGATTGGATTAAAGAGCACAATCTAAATATATGCTATTTAGCAGATACACACCTTAAAGTCAATGACACAAATAGGCTGAAAGTGAAAGGATAGAAAAAATATCTCATACAAATAATAACCAAAAGAGAGCTGGGATAGCAATCTTACTATCAAATTACACTTTAAGACAAAATCTGAAAGAAGATATAAAAATAGACATTCTATAATGAAAAAGTGGTCAATTACTCCAGAAAATTTAGCCATCATAATATATGTGACCCAAAATCAGGGCACCTAAATAGATGAAGCAAACACTGAAAGAACTGAGGAGAGAAAAAGACAGTACTACAATAATATTTGGAGACGTCAATACGCCACTTTAAATATCGGATAGAACATCTAGGAAGAAAACCAACAAGAGGATAAAGGAACTGAGTGATCCTACAAACCAACAAAATGTAAAAGATATGTAAAGAGAACACTCCACAATATGCATTGTACTCTAGCACATATGGATCATTCTCCAGGACAGAACAAAATTTAGGTTATATATCAAATCTTGATAAATTTTATGATGGAAATAATACATGGAATATGATGGAAATAATGTTTTCTGACTGTAGCTGAGTGACGCTAGATCAATAACAGGAAAAAAGATAAGAACACTCTTGTCAGGTACCATTGAGTCGGCTCTGACTCATAGTGACCTTTACACAACAAAATGCAACACTGCCTGGTCCTGCACCATCCTCACAACTGTTCCTGTGCTTGAGCCCATTGCTGCAACCACTGTGCCAATCCAACTCCATAAGGGCCTCTTCTGACACTCACCACCAAAGTTCCCATGATCATCCAGTCAACGCCAACTCAGGGCAACCCTAAAGGCCCCTGTGAGTTTCCAAGACTGTAACTTTATGGTAATGGACAGCCCATCTTTCTCCTGAGGAGCATCTGGTGGTTTCAAACTGCTGACCTGCACTTAACAGCCCAACGCTTAACCACCAGGGCTCCCTACCACCAAAGTTAGTGATGAATTAAATATTTGAATGGTAGAGAAACGTCTCATAAATCAGGGAATATAAAGAAAACATTGAGCGCTTTCTCCTTGAAATTAGGAACAAGATAAAGGCGCCTGCCCTCACCATTCCTATTAAATATTGTATTAGAAGTCCTAGCCAGAAAAATAAGCAAAAAGAAAGAAAGAAAAAGTATCCAGATTGGGGGTGTGGGAGTACAAATATCTCTATACCCAGATGATATGATCCTATATATAGAAAATTCCAGAATTTAAAAACAAAAAAGATTCTAACATGAATAAAGGAATTTAGCAAAGTTGCAAGTTACAGGGCCAATAATCAAAAATTGGTCAGTTTCTATGCATCTGCAATAAGAAATTTAGAAGGAAAGTTAGGGAAACAATTCCATTTCCTATATTATCTAAAAAGATGAAGTATCTAAAAATAAATGTAACCGGAAGGACTTATACAATACAAACCATGAAACACTGCTGAGAGAAATTAAAGACAGCTTAAATAAATAGGAAAATGTTCTACATTCATAGGTGAGAAGACTCAATTGTGTTAACCCTTTCATTACCCAATTATTTTCTGCATTAAATTTTTTTGTTGATACCATATGTTCTTTTTTTAACGATTTTATTGGGGCTCATACAATTCATACATACATCAATTGTGTAAAGCACACTTATACATTTGTTGCCCTCATCCCTGTAGCTCTGGCACTCATCGTCTATCCATGGAATAAAAATAAAAAGAAAGAAAGAAAAGCAGATGGAAAGCCAACATCAGCGGAGAGGATGGCAGTCAGGGAAGGTGGAAAAAAGCCTGAAACCTTGCCGGCTGCCGCTGCGCTACTTTACCAGTCAGCCAAACCTCCCGATGACCGCACAGCATTCTAAATTCACAGCCCCGACTTGAACCCTTGAAAATTGTGGAAATGGAGATTTTAATGTTACATAGTTTACAATTTTTAAAAACCATATTAAAAGAAGGGTGACATAAAAAAAGATAAAGCTTCAGCAAAGATTGCCTTCCTTTACCTTTCAAGCAAAAGAAAAAGCACCAATAAGCTAGACCGTGATTAAATCGATGTCTTGATTAAATCAATGTCTGAGGATATGAAAGATGCTCAGAAAAGAACAATAAAGAAAAGTGCCAAATATTTAGCTGACCTCTACCTTAAATGCTCTAAACTCTAGCTAAGGCATGCCAACCCATTAATATGATGTTCAATATGAAATTCTTGCATGAAATGCTGATAAAGGAATTATATAAAAACAGCAGCCAAAGCTATCAATAGAAAATCTGAAGTTAGCCAGTCTCTAAGAGAAGTAGCCTACTAAGCATCTAATAAGTCAGTAAATAATATCATTATTATTAGAATATTTTCAATAAAAAAGACACAGGCACAAATTTCTATGAAGCTACAGCCACAGCGAACACTTATTGAAAGCTCAATATATACCAGACATTGTTCTAAATGTTTTAAGTGTATCATTTTATTTAAACCACAAAATTGTCCAGTGAAACATGCATTCTTTTTTTTTAATTAAGTAATCACTTTATTAGGGGCTCATACAACTCATCACAATCTGTACATACATCATTTGTATCCAGCACTTTAGTACATATGTTGACTTCATCATTCTTACAACACCCGCTTTCCACTTGAGCCCCTGGTGTCAGCTCATTTTCCCCCTCCCTCCCCGCTCCCTCCTC